TAATAAATAATGATTATAATGACAATACTGATAATAATGATAATAATAATATATTATAATAACAATAATGATAATAATAATGATAATAGTAATAATAATGATGACAATGATAATAATAATAATAATAATAATGATAATAAAAAAATGATGATAATAATGATAATATAATAATAATAATAAATATGATAATAATAATAACGATAATGAAAATAATGATAATAATAATCATCATCATCATCATCATAATCATATCCATAACCATAATCATAATAATGGTAATAATAATGATAATTGTAATAATAATATAATAATAATGAATAATAATAATAATAATGATAATAACAATAATAATGATAATGATAATAATGATGACAAATAAATGGATGAATATATAAATAAAATGCTAAAATAAAAATGATAAAATAATAGTAATGATAATGATGATAGTAATAATGATTATGATGATAATAATGATGATGATAATAATAATAATAATATAATAATATAAAAGTAAAATAAGTAAGAGAAATAGGATGATATGATATAAAGAATAAATATATCAATTTTAAATAATACAATAATGATGATAAAAATTATCATATGATAGTGATAATGACAGAAACGGTGATAATGGTTACAGAAATTAAATATCTACTCTTATTGTCTATCTGATTATCCAACTATCTATTTATCCAACTTCCTATCCTTTTGTTTCTATGTTTGAGTGTCTGTCTATTTATTTTTGTATGCATGTATGTTTTTTATGTTTTCATGTATATATATATATATATATATATATATATATATATATATATATATATATATATATATATATTATATATATATATATTGTGGTGTGTGGTGTGTGTGTGTGTGTGTGTGTGTGTGTGTGTGTGTGTGTGTGTGTGTGTGTGTGTGTGTATGTGTGTGTGAGTGTGTGTTGTGTTGTGTGCGTGTGTGTGTGCGTGTATGTGTGTGTGTGTGTGTATGTGTTCATGTATGTATGTATGCATTTATGTACGCGTATATGTATGTTTTGCATGTTTGTACATATGTATGTACGTATTTATATATGCATGTATGTGTGTGTGTGTGTGTGTGTGTGTGTGTGTGTGTGTGTGTGTGTGTGTGTGTGTGTGTGTGTGTGTGTGTGTGTCTGTCTGTCTGTCATCTTTCTGTTTATCTATCAATCTATCGATTTAGTTAGCTACTTATTTNAGAGAGAGAGAGGGAGAGAGAGAGAGAGAGAGAGAAGAGGAGAAGAGAGAGAGAGAGAAGAGAGAGAGAGAGGAGAGAGAGAAGAGAAGAGAGAGAGAGAAGAGAGAGAGAGGCTGAGAGAGAAGGGCCAGAGGGAGATAGATAGATAGATAGAGAGAGAGAGAGAAGAGGCAGACAGAGGGAGATATGAGAGAGAGAGAGAGAAGAGAGAGAGAGAAGAGGAGAGAGAGAAGAGAGAGAGAGAGAGAGAGAGAGAGAGAAGGTCAAGACAGAGGAGACAGACAGAGAGAGAGAGATAGAGAGAAAAGAAGGAAGTACTAAATACCCTGATGTACCTTGAAAGTAAAGTCTCAACGAAAAGGGAAATTTCAGGAAAGGAAAATCACTCTTTTCTTCAGTGAACAGGCAAGTGAATTCAGAACCACTAGAATTAAGAAGAGACAACAGAGAGATGATAGATATAGATAGATAGATAGATAATAAATGAAATAAAGAATGAATACATAAATAAATAAATTGAATAAAAAGAGTTAAAGGGATATATTGATACAATACTTTTACCGAACTTGACACCAACACACCTGTGCTCTACAAATCGCTGTGCACTTAGACCCTTTCTCTCTCTCGCCCAAAACTTAACATGAATATGAATACATGGAAAATAATAATGAAAACAATAATAATAATGATAATGACAATGATAATAATAATAATGATAATGATAATGATTATAATGACAATACTGATAATAATGATAATAATAATGATGATTATAATAACAATAATGATAATAATAATGATAATAATAATAATAATGATGACAATGATAATAATAATAATAATAATAATAATGATAATAAAAAAATGATGATAATAATGATAATAATAATAATAATAAATATGATAATAATAATAACGATAATGAAAATAATGATAATAATAATCATCATCATCATCATCATAATCATATCCATAACCATAATCATAATAATGGTAATAATAATGATAATAGTAATAATAATAATAATAATAATGATAATAATAATAATAATAATGGTAATAACAATAATAATGATAATGATAATAATGATGACAAATAAATGGATGAATATATAAATAAAATGCTAAAATAAAAATGATAAAGATAATAGTAATGATAATGATGATAGTAATAATGATTATGATGATAATAATGATGATGATAATAATAATAATAATAATAATATAAGTAAAATAAGTAAGAGAAATAGGATGATATGATATAAAGAATAAATATATCAATTTTAAATGATACAATAATGATGATGAAAATTATCATAATGATAGTGATAATGACAGAAACGGTGATAATGGTTACAGAAATTAAAATATCTACTCTTATTGTCTATCTGATTATCCAACTATCCTTTTGTTTCTATGTTTGTGTGTCTGTCTATTTATTTTTGTATGCATGTATGTTTTTTATGTTTTCATGTATATATATATATATATATATATATATATATATATATATATATATATATATATATGAATGTGTGTGTGTGTGTGTGTGTGTGTGTGTGTGTGTGTGTGTGTGTATGTGTGTGTGTGTGTGTGTGTGTGTGTGTGTGTGTGTGTGTGTGAGTGTGTGTGTGTGTGTGTGTGCGTGTATGTTGTGTGGTGTGTGTGTGTGTTCATGTATGTATGTATGCATTTATGTACGCGTATATGTATGTTTGCATGTTTGTACATATGTATGTACGTATTTATATATGCATGTATGTGTGTGTGTGTGTGTGTGTGTGTGTGTGTGTGTGTGTGTGTGTGTGTGTGTGTGTGTGTGTGTGTGTGTGTGTGTGTGTGTGTGTCTGTCTGTCTGTCTGTCTATCTTTCTGTTTATCTATCAATCTATCGATTTAGTTAGCTACTACTTTTGCCTGACTGTCGGTCTATCTGTATATATATACACCTATATATTTCTCTATCTGTCTATCTCTCTCTTATCTCCTCTCTCCCTCTCTTCCTCTCCCTCTCTCTCTCTCTTTCCTCTCCCTCTCTCCCTCCCTCTCCCCCCTCCCCCTCTCCCTCTCCCCTTCTCCCGCTCTCCCTTTTTCCCTCTCCCTCTCCCTCTCCCTCTCCCTCTTCGTCCCCTCTCCCTCCCTCTCTCCCCCTCTCCCTCTCCCCCTCTCCCTCTCTCCTTCTCTCCCTCCCTTGGTCATGCAGGTCCATAACACGAGGAAGGAACGTTCAATAAATTCAAGGCAACTCGCGCGCCAGGTGCATGACCTCGCTGGGCGTTTTTTCCCTCCATGCATTTATGTCCCCGCAGACACGCCCGAGGCCGCCTGCATGACTCCGCCCTCTGTGGGTGGCACATGCACTGGCTGTTGCTTTGTTCGGAGTGGGCGGAGAGGCTGGCGCGCGTGCGTCCGAATGCGTGCGAAGAAAGGGGTCCAGAAAAGGAGGGAAAATCGCGGGAGGGACAAACCGCGCGTCTCTGTGTGTGTGTCTCTAGCAGGGGAATCGGACGCTGTGATTCCCGCGCGGGTTTTGTGAATGGGTCTGTGGCAGGTGGAGACAGATGGTTTTTCTGAATGGGGTGGAGCGGTGGCAGGTGGAGACAGGTGGTTTTCTGAATGAGTGGTGGCAGGTGGGAGAAGGGGTTTCTGAATGGGATGGAGCGGTGGCAGGTGGAGACAGGTGGTTTTCTGAATGGGGTGGAGCGGTGGCAGGTGGAGACAGGTGGTTCTGAATTGGAGGTGGAGACAGGTGGTTTTCTGAATGGAATGGAGCGGTGGCAGGTGGAGACAGGTTGGTTTTCTAATGAAGGTGGAGACAGGTGGTTTTCTGGAGTGGTGGCAGGTGAGACAGGAGGTTTTCTGAACGGGATGGAGCGGGTGGCAGGTGGAGAAGGTGGTTTTCTGAATGGGATGGAGCGGTGGCAGGTGGAGAAAGGTGGTTTTCTGAATGGGAGGAGCGGTGGCAGGTGGAGAAGGTGTTTTCAGAACGGGATGGAGGGTGGCCAGTGAGACAGGTGTTTCTGAACGGGTGGAATGGTGGCAGGTGGAGAAAGGTGGTTTTCTGAAAGGGGTGGACGTGGGCAGGTGGAGACAGGTGGTTTTCTGAATGGGAGGAGTGGTGGCAGGTGGAGACCAGGTGGTTTTTCTGAAGGGGAGGACCGGTGGCAGGTGGAGACAGGTGGTTTTTCTGAATGCGGGAATGCGGGGGCAGGTGGAGAAAGGTTGGTTTTCTGAAAGGGGTGGAATGGTGGCAGGTGGAGACAGGTGGTTTCTGAATGGGTAGGCAGTGGCGTTGGCAGGTGGAGGACAGGGTGTTTTCTGAACGGGAGGACGGTGGCAGTGTGAGAAAGGTGCGTTTTTCTGAATGGCGTGGAGAGTGGTGGCAGGTGGGAAAGTGGTTTCTGAAAGCGGTGGAATGGTGTCAGTGAGGACAGGTGGTTTTCTGAATGCCGGTGGAGCAGACGTGCAGGTGGAGAAAGTGGTTTTCTGAATGCGGAGGAGCGGTGCAGGTGGAGACAGGTGCGTTTTCTTAATGGGATGGAGCGATGCGCAAGGTGACACAGGTGGTTCTTAATGGGCATGGAGTGCTGGCAGAGTTGAGAAAGGTGGTTTTCTGAATGGGGCGGGACGGTTGGCAGGTGGAGGACAGGTGGTATTTCTTAATGGGATGAGCGGTGCAGTGAGACAGGTGGTTTTCTGAATGGGATGGAGTGGTGCAGGTGGAAGACAGGTGGTTTTCTGAATGCGGGAAGAGCCGGGTGGCAGGTGGAGACAGGTGTTTTCCTAAACGGGATGGAGCCCCGGTGGCCAGTGGAGACCAGGTGGTTTTCTGAATGGGGGGTGGAGAGTGGATGGCAGGATGGAGACAGATGGTTTTCTGAACGGGGAGCGAGCGGTGGCAGGTGAGACAGGTGGTTTTCTAAACCGGGATGAGCGGTGGCAGGTGGAGACAGGTTGCCGTTTTCCAGAACCGGGGAGGAGCCGGTTGGCAGCGGTGGAGACAGCCGGTGGCTTTTCTGAAACGGATGAGCCGGGATGAGGTGGCAGGTGGAGGCAGGTTGGTTTTCTGAATGGGATGAGCGGTGCAGTGGAGACAGGAGGTTTTTCTGAACGGGATGCGAGCGGTGGCAGGTGGAGACAAGTGCTGTTTTCTGAACCGGGCATGGATGGAGCCGGTGGCAGGGTGAGACATGTGTTTTTCTGAATGGCATGGAGCCGGTTCCAGCGTGGAGACAGGGAGGTATTTCTGAACGGGAGTGGAGCGGTGCGCCAGCGTCTGACAGACAGGACGGTTTTCTGAACGCGGATGCGAGCGGTGGCAGGTTGGAGAGACAGCGTGGTTTTCTGAAACGGGCATGGAGTGTGGCCAAAACGGGGAGGCAGCGGTGGCAGGGTGGCAGACAGGCTGGTTTCTGAAATGGAGGTGGGTGGTGGCAGGTGCGAGACAGGTGGTTTTCTGAATGGGCGAAGGAGCGGTGGGCAGGTGGAGACAGGGTGCGTTTTCTGAAATGGATTGAGGTGGAGACAGGTGTTTTCTGAATGGGGTGGAGCGGCTTGTGTGGCAGGTGGAGGACAGGCCGTGGTTTCCTGAACGGGATGGAGCGGCTGGCAGGTGAGACAGGTGGTTTCTGACTGCGGGCAGAGCGGTTGGCAGGATGGCAGACAGTGTTTTCTGCGATGGGAGGAGCGGTGCGTCACGGTGGAGGACAGAGTGGTTTTCTGAATGCGGAGGAGTGGAGACAGGTAGGTTTTCTGATGGGTGGAGCGCGGTGCAGGTGGCAAGACAGTTGAGTTTTTCGAACGATGGCAGCGGTGGCAGGTGGCAGACAGTGGTTTTCTGAATGGGATAGAGCAGTGGCAGGTGGAGACAGGTGGTTTTCTGAATGGGGCAGAGCGGTGGCAGGTGGAGACAGGTGGTTTCCTGAATGGGAGAGTGCGAGGCACAGATGGTTTTCTGAATGGCGGAGAGCGGTGGCCAGGTGGAGACAGTGGTTTTCTGAACGAGATGCGAGCGGTGCGCAGGTGCGCAGACAGTGGTTTTTCTTGAATGGGGAGGCAGGAACCGGTGCTGGCAGGTGGCGAGACAGGTTGTTTTCTGAATCGGGTGGAGCTGGGTTGCGCAGGTGGAGACGGGTGGCTTTGCTGAACGCGGAATGGAGCGGTGGCAGGTGGAGACAGGTGGTTTTCAGAACGGGGAGGAGCGTGCTGGCATTGGTGGAGACAGGACGGTTTCTGAACGGGGAGGAGTGAGGCAGTGTGGAGAGACAGGTCAGTTTTCTAACGGGATGGAGTGGTGGTAGGTGAGAGACAAGGAGGTTTCCTCGAACGGGATGACGGTGGCCCATGTGGAGACAGGGGCAGCGTTTTCTGGAATGTGGGAGGAGCCGGTGGCAGGTGGAGACAGGTGGTTTTCTGAATGGGGTGCAGCGCGTGGCAGGTGCGAGACAGGTGGTTTTACGAAACGGCGATGGAGCGCGCTTGGCAAAAGTGGTGGGGGGGGGGAGGGGGGAGGAACAGGAGCGTTTTTCTGAACGGGGAGGAGATGTGGCAGGTGGAGACAGGAGGTTTCTGAACGGGATTGGAGCGGTGGGCAGGTGGAGACAGGAGCGATTCTGAACGGATGCCGAGCCGCGTGGCAGGTGGAGACAGGAGATTTCTGAACGCGGATCGAGCGCGTGCAGGTGGAACAGGAGCCGTTTTCTGAACGGGGATGGAGCGTGCAGGTGGAGACAGGAGGATTTCTGAACGGGATGGAGCGGTGGCAGGTGGAGACAGGAGATTCTGAAACGGCGATGGAGTGGTGCGCAGGTTGGAGACAGGAGGATTCTGAACGGGGGAGTGGTGGCAGGCTGGAGACAGGAGGATTTCTGAACCTGGATGGAGCGTGGCAGGTGGAGACAGGAGGTTTTCTGAACCCCGGGCATTGGAGCCCCGGTGGCCAGGTGCAGACAGTGAGCGAATTTCTGAACGACTGGCAGCCCGGTGCAGGTGGAGACCAGGAGGATTTCTGAACCGGAGCCGCCTGGAGGAGTGGTGGCAGGTGGAGACAGGAGGATTTCTGAACGGGGAGGAGCGGTGGCAGGTGGAGACAGGAGGTTTTCTGAACGGAGGGAGGTGGGCAGGTGGAGACAGGGAGGTTTTCTGAACGCCGGATGCAGCGGTGGCAGGTGGAGCACAGAGGCCATTTCTGAACGGGATTGAGCGGTGCCAGGTGCGAGACAGGAGGATTTCTGAACGGAGAAGTGGTGCGCAGGTGGAGACAGCAGGATTTTCTGAACGGAGC